GAAAAGTGTGGGATTTGTTTCTTTTGAGCTTCATTAGAATACAGTGCTGTTTCAGTTATGTTCAGTGTATTAACTGGGCATTTGTAGGAGGTAAGCTGAGTTCATTTGGAAATGGATGATGTACTGGACTCAGTTTTAGCAAAGGGTTTTTTCCAGTTGGTCTACAATAAATTAAGCTCAGAAGATTTTAAAAGTGGTTTTGTTACAACCATTTGTTTAGTCTTTTCTACAAGGAACGGAAAACTAAATACTTGAGGTAATTAGGCCAAAAGTAAGAAAGCTAATTTAAAACCTTCAGTTGTCCTGTTCGGTTTTATGCCGGTGAATGAGATTTTCTGTTCTTAATACATAGAACCGTATCTATGCTTTCATAGTAAGGTAGATCAGTTACTCTGTAAGTGGTCATCTGGTCTAGTGGTTCTCCTGCTTTAGAATGGGATTTGCAGTTGCTGCTTACCTTCCTGTTTTCCTCTGCTGCGCTTGCTGTGCAACTTTGCTGCTGCACCTCACCTTAGCACTCCTCTACCTCAGATGTGAGCTATAGTTTAGGAGTTCAGAAATGTGGTTAGTTAATTCCTCTGCATCAGCCCCCAGTGCTTTTACTGACAGATACTCTGACTTGTCTTTAAGACCTCCAATTTCAGAGATTCAGCAGTCTAGCCAATATATCTCAGTATTTCGCATCCTTTCCTTTAAAAAGCTTTTCCTGATGTCCAGTTTGACTATTCCTTAATGCAATATAGACTTGCTGCTCTCTTGTTTCTTGTACCAAGGACTTGCATTCTCACTGCAGTTTTTTTTTTTTTGCTTGAAGACTCTCTTGAGCTTTTTCTCTTAAGGCTCAACAAGTCCAATTAATTTTTCTTTCCTTCAGTCATTCATCTTTTTTGCACATCTCAGTCTTTCACTATTGTGCAGTAGTCTCTGTAAAGATTGTGTATTTCTTGAAATAGCATGCTCAGAACTGGGTACAGTATTCTGGCTAATGCCTTTCCTATGCTCTGTTTTTACTTTTTTTTTTTTTTTTTTTGTGCCTTTACTTGAAATTGTGCTAATCAGGTGTGCACAAGTTCTCCCTCATACCAAATTTCTGTGCCGGGTTTTTGATTTTTAAACTTTCCATTTTATACAGAAGGGTGACTGAGAGGAATTATCATTCCATCTTACTTTTAAGTATCTTGCTTTCCTATAGCTTGAGAGGCATTATAACTTTGTACATTATGAAAAATACATGAACTTCTGTAGACTTCCACCTTCTGAATTGCAATTTGTATTTACTGAGAGGAATGTTGTTCAGCAAGAGGCTAACATCTAAAGTAAATATATGTTTGCTTTCATTCTTTTTGGGGAGAAGATTACCTATAGGGAACTGAACCTTTCTTACTGCGAGGCAACGTGGGCCGCCTTCTGTCAGTGTGAACATCTCCTCTCGAAGATTCCTGACTTGCAGAAGAATGCATTAATTCTTTATGACCAACTCAAGAAAAAGTGTAGAGAAATGGGACACACTTACGAAGATCAAGATGAATTGGCTCGTTTTGTATCTACAGATATGTCCATTGAGCATGCTTGGCAATCTCTTGAATTTTTGAAAGATCAGAACATAGTGATTAGGGAGAAAAAACTGGTGTTTCTGCCTCATCTTTACAAATCTGAAAAAGACATTGTAATGTATATAGGTGACCTTCTGTCAAACCATTCGTGGCAACTGGATGTTGACGTGAGAAAGATACTTAACGTTTCTGAGACATCAAGAGAAATGGTAGATAACAAAATGAATGTTACCCAGTCTTGTGAAATCGAACATCTGAAGGAAAATAGTCTGGACAATCACACCTGTGAAAATCACTTTCTTGAAAAGGAAGTGGGATCTATGTCAGGTACCCAAAGTAAAGCAGAGGTAGACTTAGATCAGGTGATTGCCTTGGAAAAGATTTGTTCTAATCCTGTCACAATCATAAGTGGAAAAGGAGGCTGTGGGAAAAGTACAATAGTTAGCTGCCTTTTTCGTCACTTAAAGCAGATGGAAAAAGAAGTGGAAGCTGCTTCTAAGGACTTCGAAGAAGACGTGGATGCATCTGAGGAGTGGAATACCTTTGATCATAATTTGGAGTTAGAGAATATGTACACAAAAAAGGTTTTGAATGTACTATTTACTGCACCTACAGGGAGGGCGGCAAGCCTTTTGAGTGAAAAAACTAAGCTTCCTGCATATACACTGCATCAGGTAAGGATTTCTTTTTTTTTTTTTTTAATTGTGTTCTGAAAGACCTTTTGGCACTGTACATTCTTGTTTTTTAAAAAAAAAAAAAGCTTGTTATTGAACTTCTCTAATAAAATGTGTAGCTGTTAATGCTTAGGTGTAGCTTGTCAGCATTTTAAATTTACTGTTACGTTTTGGGGAATGATAAATCAATCATTTGAAACTAATTATTTGCTGTAACTTTGTTTTTTTTCCCTACTTGAATACATCTCAAATTTGTGCCTTTCTAGGGCATCTGGTCTTTTTAGCTTCTCTTTTATTTTTTTTTTTTTTTTTTAGTTTAGAGTGGAAATACTTTCTAGATGTCAGAGCTGTTTTCTAGTGTCATGTTGCCTAGCAATCATACTGATACCTGCATATGCACAAAAAGAGTAGTAGCCTGGCATTTAATAATGAGATAAATTTCATTCATAGTGTTTTCTTAATTGTTGCTAAATATTGTGTAGATTTTTTTTTTAGAAAAAAGTAGAAAGCAAACTCTTTGTTAATAAACTTAGGTCAAGTCTCTGTTGTCCTAGGTAGTGAAAGGTGCCAAGAGGATGTTGCAGTTGTGGAATAAGCTGTATAAATCAAAACTATAATAATATAAAAAGTACTGTGGGCTAATTTTATCTTTGGGGACTGGATAGTTGCCTGTTCCCCTTCTCCATGCAATGTTGGGGATTTATTAAGGTCATCAAGCTGTAGTAGTAGGTGTTCTGTTACTGAGCAACCTAATGGCTGACCTTATATCCTTTAGGGTCCCTGCAAAAAAAAAAAAAAAAAAGGAGGATGCATTTCTGTGCTTTTATGTAAGTAAGTGTTGATAATCTCAGCTAGAAATGTATTCACCAAAGAGGAAAATGAGACTGAACAGTTGAGTCTTCTGAGTCTTTACAGGTTTAAGTTCAGAATTTCAGATAATAGCTCTAAATACAACATTAGACGATACCACACTCTGGATACCTTTATAAGACAATTGATTAGCATCAGACCTTGATTTATTTTGATTTGTTTGTAGATCATCTATAGTTTTAAATCGTGGAGGCAGAGTGAACAAGTACAGCCATGGAAGTTTTCTACTGTGACGGTTCTGATTGTGGATGAAGGAAGTTTGGTGTCTGTACATGTTCTTAGTTTAGTTTTAAAACTCTTGTGTGAGCATGCTCAGCTTGCCAAACTTATTATTCTAGGTAAGTGAAACAAAAAAATAGTATTATACAATACTTAATAATACATAATATACAGTGTAAGTATCAAAACTGCCACTGGTCTCACTGAGTCTCTGAAAAGCCCCTGAATGTTACATTGTTCTGTACTTGGATATTTCTGCTTATTCATAAGGTCAGATGAGATAAACTGGGCTCTTCAAGAGTTTTCCATCTCAACTGTCAAAAAGTATCAGTATCTCTGTTCTCTGTTTAGCAGTGTTTTGTCTGAAAGTTTTATGACTTCCATGTAGTAGCTTATTACATCTTGCAGCTGGAAAACTTTTCTGATATCCTTAAAGAAACTAGTGTTAGCATATTAAACAAACGTTAGAAGGGAGGTTTCATGTTGTTTTAATGTTAGGATCATCTCCTTTTCATTCAGAAAGGAAAACAAGTGTAAAATCAATTTTCTGGTTTCTCAAAGGTTTGCTTTTTGGCATGACATTTATGGCATTATGTTTGAATAAGATGTGATCACTGTTGGTGTTCATCATACAGTGATTTGTAGCTGCTAGTAAAGTATTAGAGTGAGGAATATGAAAAATTTAGACTATACTACCGTCTGATTCCCCCAAAAAAGTTTCTTAAATTGTTGACAGTTTCATTTCATGCGAATTGTATTGAGGAAGCATGTTACTGTGTGGAGGGTTGAGCATTTATTAATTCTAGTGGGGTTTTTTTAAGACAGTTTTTAACAGATGTTCTGTTATTGCTTCTCACAAATAGCAATTTGCGTTCTGTTTAGGTGATACTAGACAGCTACCAAGCATAGAGCCAGGAAACATGTTAGCTGATATCTTTGAGGGTCTAAAATCAAGAGGCTTTTCTGTGGAACTGCGAACTAATCACAGAGCTGAATCGCAACTAATTGTAGATAATGCATCAAGGTAGGATTTCGTTTTGTATGTAAGAAGCATTCTTGTAATAGGCCTGGTCCTTTACCTGCAAAATAGTAGTGCACCCAGATTTGATTCTATAGTACTGCCTCTGTTACAGTTTCTTATTCAAAATCAGTAACACTGGTTTTAAAAACAAACCAGCCCCCAAACCAACAACAACCCCCCCACAAATATATATATAGTGTGTGTATATATATATATATATAGGACAAAATATATATTTTATATAGATATTGGACAAAAAAAAATGTGTGCTGGAATACCCTTGAATTTTATGGGATATATTTCGCTATCAGATACTCTCTGTTGTTTTCAAATGACTTGTGCACACACAAATCAATTTGTCTTCTGAAATGACTTACAATTGCTTCTCTAAAAAGACCTTTAAAGACCTTGCTGGTAAGTGTGACAACAGCTAAAACGGGCTGAATTACATTGAGAATTTAGATGTCAAAGGCCATTAAATCATAGTTACTTTATATTTTTTTCTGTATTAATACCTAGAATCTTTAAATGTTTCCCGCATTTGCATTACTCTTGGTCGGGAAATAATCCTGTTTACTGTCAGTGAATTATTTTTTAAACCTCAAACAACAAAATCTAGGTCAGAGTGTCCAAGACCTTTTGATGTTGGTTGGAATTTGAGAATATTCTGAACATTTGCAAGATGTCTAGAACTGCAAAATAGTTCACAAATGCTCACTCTTTTTTGGGGGGCATAACACTTCTGTATTACTCCAGTCTGCTCCCATGAGAAAAACTGTATGGGTAATGCTAAGTATCTACTGCAGTGCTGAAGGGTTTAGAGAATAAATTACCCATTTTTAAATGTGGAATTAAGTTATGCTTGGAAGAGTTTTTGGTATATGTGGTGTAGATGACCAAAAATTTATAAATGGTGACCTTTAGGCTGATGCAGACAATACATTGTAATCCTTTAACTGGAAATAATTTTTCTTTTCTGTTTTCCTTTCACTGCTCTGGTCAAGAATTTCTCACCGGAAGCTTCCTGAATTTGATGAGGTGCTGAAAGTCTCTGATTGGAATGAGGAAATGACAATGCTAAGCCCAGAGAAGAAATTCATTCTTATTGCTTTGCCTGCTGGTGGGGGTTGTGACAGTACGTGGGTCCAGTCCGTTTGTGATCTCGACTTTGCTTTTGATAAAGCATAGACTATTTGGCTGGAACTAACGTTTTGGGAAGATTTTAGTCTGTTTTTGTTTGTGGTATAAATTTAAATACTAGATTCTTAGTTTACGTTTTGCCTTCTGTAAGTGCACACAGCAAGACCCATCAGTACAAAGGATACGCGTAGAGCTCCAGCTCACCAGTCAGATTTTATAATGGGGGTGATACAGCTTCCATTGGTGTAATCAAATGTGATCATCATTTTATGTTGTAGCTGGAGCTGTCAAACCTTAAAAGATTAAGTTTTTCAGAGATGAACCATTTGAGTAAACAGCAACTGTGACAGGGTGGTGTGTTGGGACAGGAATGTGCTCTAACAGCTCTAGAATCAAGTTAGGAAAATGAAAGCAGAGGCGACACCATAATTTCTTTCAAAATGTTTTGGGGTCAGGGTTAGGCCACTGTTTTGGGGTTTTTTGACCTTTATTGGATAAGTGGATTGAGCGGCCTCTACTTTATATGCATCAAAAAGCTTCAAGGGGGATGTGGGGAAAAAATATAGTGCGAATATTATCATCTTATCTTACTATAATAACTTACTCAGCAAACAGAATACTAAAAATGGATTTCTTCTGTGAAATCTAAATATATAGGTCCGTGGCTTAAAAATGTTCTCTCCATACCTCTTTAATATGCTGTATCAAAATCTTAATTTGCGTGAAATATGCTCTATGCAGCTCTTTTAAAAGAGAAATAAGAATTTCTCTCCTTACACATCACTCGTCTCTCAGATTTTAACAGTGGGAAAACTGCATGATACTTTTGGGGGGGGGGTATATGTGTGGGTGTTTTGTGGTGTGGGGCTTTTTTGGGGGGAATGTATATTTTGGGGGGTTTTATTTTAGGGGTTTTGTTTTAAATAAGTTGAAATGTCATTGAAGCAAGAAAGGCAATTTCATATCAAATTATGTTTTTCTTTCTTAAATTTTGTTCTGCATATTTTTATGCCTTACCTTTTATGTCTTCTAAATCAGATTTGCAAACTGCCATAAGGACTTTACTTAAAAAAGGACCGGGATTGCAGGATGCCAAACAATCGCAGTTCATTGCTTTCAGAAGGTAATGGAGCATGTAGGCAGACATTGAAAAAATCCTTGCTAGCAGTCACAATCTAAAAATAGCTGAATGTGTTGAGTTGGAGGGACTAGTGGCAACACCACAAAATTGCTAGAGAGAAAACAGGCCAGGTGACTTTTCCTATGCCTTCTCGTTGCCCCCAGTCTCTCTATAGAGAGAGTTGCTTGTTTTTTCTGTAAGCTTAATGTTATTTTGCACCATGATTTCTGCCTTTGCACCATGATTTCTGCCTTTGTGTTCATCTGTACTATTTATGGTAAAGAAACAAAGGATGGGCATAAGCAGTCAGTTTTTGTAGTAGACTCTCTGAGAGCCTGTGCTCTGGTGTTTGATAACAGTGCAGTGTTCTTCAGAAATGAAAGGTGAGGGCTTGACTGCAAGAGGAACCCGCTAAATACAATGTAATGTCTGTATTCAAACATCATGGCAGAGGTGAATTCCAGGATGCGTGATGGAATGCCTAACCTATTGTCTCTAATGACAGAAGATACTTGCATTTTGATCATGGGATGAGGGCCAGATTTAGTCATATAGTCTGATGTGCATTAGTGCTCCTGCTGCGCAGTGGCAGGTCCCTACAGCTTGGATATTTGGAAGCACAATACTGATCATTTAAGAAGTGGGGGGGTGTAGGGCTCTTAACACTTTCAAGACAGATAGTAAAGTTTAGTAATCACTGATGATGCGAACCGTCACAGGAGTGTGAATAGTATGAGTGGCCTCACAGAAACAGTGAAGGGATAAATGTAATGTCCAGTAGTACCAATAGTTCATAAACTTGCACTTGTGCTAAGGAACACTTTTATTTGTGAAGAACCTTTTCTCAGCAATTAAAAAACACCCACTACTTACAGGTTACTAGTGTGCAAATAAGCATTTTATAAATTTTGGCTAGTTCACCTGTTTGTTGTGACTGCTGAGTAACTCTGCAATCAATTTTTTTCTTCAGTCTGCGTTCAGCTACAATACTGTTATTAACGATTTCCATGTGAGATTCTTCTGTCTGCATTTTAAATGTTAAAATTCCAGGTCTTCTAGAAGCAAATAAATTTTCTGTCTATTTTTAATACATCCACAGACAGGAAATAATATATCCAGGCTTTAATTTTTCTTTAGTTTTGTTCTTTCTCTTAAAATCAAATCTAGGTATGTGATAAAAAACCTTGCTTCACTTGCTATGTTATTTGGACAAAACTGTTACTTTACTGCCATATCCTCTAAAATCTGAATCAGTGATTGCTTTTAATTGTTGATGGAAGGTCATCATAGCTAAGATGGGATTTTTCCATTGTTTTTTTAATTAAATGCTAATGTGACATTGCATGTAATTTTTGTATGCTTTGTATTCATTAAGCACACCATGATTTTTTTCATGTTCTTGTTTTGTATGATTTAGGCAAGATTGCGATCTAATAAATGAACTTTGTTGCCAACACTATTCAAATCACGTAACCAGGTAAGCCATTTTTTTGCAGTTTTTCCTGTGAACAATCTCACTTTGTTTTTGAAAGTGTTACAGCCAGGCCAACAACCTAAGATAAAATTTTAAAACTTAGTATTTGTCTAGATCTGATTATTTATGTTAGAAATCATTTATACAGTAACCTTTCTTTGATGGGTTCTTTAATCTCATCCTGGACTGTGAACAGAGGTAACATAAAATAAACATTTGCCTTTCATTTAAATTGTCATTATGTGAATTCCAAGATTTTGAGTTACTGCTGAATATTTAAAATTGACATAAAGGCAACCTGAAAAAAACCTGAAAAAAACCTGAAAAAAACCTGAAAAAAACCTGAAAAAAACCTGAAAAAAACCTGAAAAAAACCTGAAAAAAACCTGAAAAAAACCCATATTACTGTTTTTTACCAAAACATTTTACAAAAGTTCCAGAACCCCCTTTTAAATGTGAGTTATCTTAACTGATTTTAACATTTTTAAGGCTTTTAATCTGGCCCAACTATAGAGAGGGCAAAGAGAAGAAATACTGAGAGATGGTAAATGCGTACTTTGTAATGACATTTCTCCCTTTTTCTTTCTCTAACCTAGAGACCATAGAAACCGACTTTTATTTCAAATTGATGACAAGATTTCCTGCATGCGGAATACGTATCTCAAGGATCTCTTGCCAGACCGTGGCTTCGGAGAGGATCCTAATTGCCATGAATGCAAAAGTGGACAAACCTCCCTCACTACAGAGACTGCTGACGAGGACAAACGGCTATGCAATGGAGATATATTTTTCATAACACGGGTGAGTCCTTGCTGCAAGAACTTGCACAAAAACACAGTGGTAATTGATTCAGTTCTTGTTGAATCCCCCGAACAAAACAGTGCATACTTCAAAATTTTAGTCCATAATATATACCTAGTTCTTCTGCTAAACTATCACGTGAAAGGCAAGAAAGAGGCAGACTCAGAATGGAGAATTAAAAAAAAAAATAAAAATCTATGGTCATTTTTGTGTCAGTTGGTCTGTTCCTGTCCAGTGTAAATACTCAAATGTATTGTAATTGAAATGCATTATGTTTTGGATATAGGTAGAAACATAATTCTAAGTAAAGAATAAAGCTGGTGTTACAGTTCGAACTCTCCCCTAGCAGAAAACTAAGCTGACTGAAAAATACAGCAACAAAACCCCCTGTATTTTTCAGCTGGGTTCAGGGCGTTGAGTTCACTCAGCCGAAGGTACAGTGAAAGTGTCAGTATTTGTGCATGGGAAAGGGGGACCATGCAGGGTTAGTGGGGGAGAGTAGGCTCTTCTCCCTGTGTGGCAACAAATTGTTAAATGGCCTCTCTGGTATAGGTCTAAGTTTTCTGCATTTTTCTTGCTAAACGGAAGGAGTTGGGGTGAGTCCTGTACAGTGAAACTATTTTCCTTGAAGGTGCTCAGTGAAAGATAGCCATCTTTTGGGCTTAGTGTCTTCCAAAACTATTTCAGTCAGTTGACATTGTAGCTATTGTATTTTCAGGGAAAGCTAGGATATGGACACACACAAATGTACAGACATTGATCAAACTGCTGATAGGAACTTGCTGAGTGTTCTTGTTCTGTTTCTTTAGGATGTAGAAGTTGATAAACAGCGCTTATTGACCATCAGCAGCACGTACGGCTCCACTTTCACTGTGCGGTATAAGGCACTGAAGAAGCTATGTCATATAAAACACGCCTGGGCCAGAACTATTCACACATTTCAGGTAAAAAAAACCAAAAACAAACCAAAAAAACCCACTATGAGCTGATAAAACTTTCTTGTGGATTTATCTTGCCAATGCACTGTATTTTCACATGAAAGAGAAGCTCTCTTGAAACTAAAATTCTTTGAATGCAGGATAGAAGATGCTCTTGAGAGTGTCCCTGGCTGTCTCCAACTTCCTTGTTCTTGTAAGCTGTCCCTTTTTTTTTTTTTTTTTTATAACTACTTACTGAGATCTTAATTTAATAAGGCATTCTTAACCGTTTCAGGGTTCTGAAGAAAAAACTGTTGTCTACGTAGTTGGCAATCCTGGCCGTCAGCACTGGCAGCACGTGTACACAGCCGTGACAAGAGGCCGCTGCCGTGTCTATGTTATAGCTGAAGAGAGGCACCTCAAGAGAGCAGTCACTAACAAGAACGTGCCCAGAAAAACTCGCTTACAGAGATTTTTGAGAGAGGCAATCGCAGAAAGAAGCAACTGTCCCAAACAAACTTCCTCTCCCCTGATGAAGAACTGGCAGAGTCAAGAGGTTGAGTCTCTGTCTGTTTCTGTAACTCAGGGTGTTCCTGACCCCACTCTAGCTGGCTTGATTAAACAGGAAAGGTCAGCGGTTTTTAATAAAGAACAGACAGGCAATTTGCAGCAAAGTCCATCTAAAAGACAACAGAGTCTTGCAGAGCATTCTGAGGACGCTACAGAAGTACCCTCTGTAAGTATCTCCTTACTGAGAAAACATAAAACAAACTTCTGCACTCTCTCTTTCAGCACTGCAAGTGGCTTGGATACTGTTACGATTGTTTTAATATTACTTATTTAATAATTTTCAAGATGACCAGTAGTTGATGGTGAAGCAGTCAAATTTGGCAGCTACTTTCCCAAAGTAATATATGACTAATAGGGAAAAATAAGTTACATCACTAGTAGTAAATATATACATCTTGTTACTAGTTGCAGTGGTCTGTTGGCCTGTTGGTTTGTTACCTTATTCTTTGTGCACAGAAGTCAAGTTTTAGGAGATGAACTGCTGTGAAACATGTATATATAATTATTTTATCATTGAAGTAGATAGGTTTTTATACAGTCAAACGTGCTTAATGGATATTTTTTCATTATATCTAATTTCTGAGCTCTGTCATGGGGGAAAAAGCTTTTATTGAAGAGGTTACTGTATTTTAGTTCTGGTTCAAATTTTGATAACACTTTTGTTTTGTTTTGACAGACAACAATAGAAGATTCCCCACTTGGGTCTTCCAAACTTAAGAATCTAACTTTGGGACAGCCAACGCCTAGGAAGCTTTTCAAAAGCTGACAATTAACTCTCCCCTTCATGAACCTTTCTTGAACCTGTTTCATTCAAGATTTTTGGAATGTAAAAGCTGGGTACGCAGATGATTTTCAAAGGTTTTCCTGTATTTGCATGTTCTATGAAGAACAGCTTGTTTTAAAGCAAGCCTTTTGTATTTTCAGTGATCTGTCTTATGTAGGAGATTTCTTGGTGTGTTGGTCATCAAAAATTACATTGTTCTTTTGTTTTAGTGAAGAATGAACTTATAGGTCTTACAGGATCCAGACGTTCCCTTAAAAAATACATGGGGATTTCTTGATGTAAAGATTCTAGCTATCCATACCAAGATTAATCCATCTCCTAATGCTACAGCATTGATGAGAAACTTTATTGATGTGCCAAAATTGCAGTTTGAGTCCAAAAAAAAAAAAGTTTATGAAGGGGACTTCAGATTTTTCCAATGTGGCAGAATTATGGGTATGAAGCTTTGATGGGTTATGGATTTTAATCTTGTTCTAAATAGTTGCCATCAGTGATGTAGAAAATTTTTCCTACTTTGTACCTGAAAGAAAGAGATGTAAAGCTTGCCATTGCTGCTCTACCAAATAGTTATAAGCTGATAATCAACTTGGTAAGAAAAGCAGAATTCCAAGTCAGTGTTCAAATAACATTCCACTTTCAACCTTTGTGTACTACGTGACTTGCCGCATTGTAATTTTTGAGGTTAATAAGCTGAATGTTTAGTCAAACTATAGACAAATTGCACTAAAATTTGGACAGGTTGCCAGCTTGCTTGCTTTCAGCACTTTTCTCCTGCCATAGAAAAAAAGTACCACAAGTATAAACGTGGTATTTTTTTTTGCTAAGACTGTGGAAAAAATATAAAATAGGAAAATGCTACCTCATTTTTAATGTCTTTAAATCACTGTTTATTTCAATTTATACAGTTTTTCCATACAAATATTTGCAACAGTTTGAATTTCAAAAAACATAACATAGACGATAAATATCATGCTATTAAAGTATTAAATTTGTACAAAAATACTTTACAGTTTAATACTTATTTGTTACAAATAAAAATACATATTTAAGTGACTCATGAACGTTTTGTTTGTTTTTTTTTTTTTTTTACATGATTCAGCATTGAATGTCATTCTGACCTTTTCTGGCAGTGCTGAAATAGAAATCAGAGCTACTTGTGTGTGCAGGGCAGGTGAGCTTGTTCATGTATTGGAAACAGCAACAGGGATACAGTTAAACAGTTTAAATTGACCAGAAACAACTCTGTAAGGTGATTGCTTAGATATGGAGACTCTACAAATGTACAAATCCAGTATCTTTATATTCACCAATAACAATAATTACCAATAACAACTGGAATACCGGAATAAACCAAAGCAGCTGCTGGTGAGCATATAAAGCAACTGGCAGTATTTTATTGCTTGGGGGAAGAGGGGAGAGGAGAGAATTTGTGTGATGTGTTCGTAAAATATATTTACAATTTTAAATTCTAAAAATGTGTTGCGAAGGGTAATGTTTTATCATAAAGAAGGCTGAAAACAAAGCATATTAGATGGGACTTCTGTCCCTTCGAGAAACTGTTTGACTTAAAAAGCTCGTGTGTGACAGTACACGTTTATGGATCATTAAAGAGCTTTTGTATCAATCTTCTACTGACATAGTTTAAAAAAAGCCGTTTTCTGTTAAAATGTTCCTAATCTGTCTGAACTCATTTCAGTTTTACTCTTGTCAGTAATCCTCCTTCAGAGGTTTTATCCCATTAAAAAAGTCTCTGCTTAAAAATCCCCACAGGTTGCAAGACATACCGTTAAATATTTCATTGCATAGGGAATAACATATGCTCTAACAAAATTTACCAAAGTGAGGGAGTAATGTTCACCCCATACTGCAGCGTCCTACAACCATTTTGTTAAAACCTCTAAACTGTCCTCTGTCTGAAGAGTGCACCCTTCTTGCCAGCAGAATAAAGGTCCCCAAAATAGCAGATCTAGCCATTTCACAAGGAAACCCGGTACAGCATCCCACTCTTCCTTGTCCATCAGACAGCACCTTTCTGATAAAATGTTTTTAAAAACCAGGTAGCCTGAACACCACCGTTAGCAGGGGTGATGCTTTTCCCTCAAACAGCAGCTGCTGCTGAAGGAACACTTAAATCATGTTTAAAACATCTCCGCAGTTTCTTATGTGGGGGGAAAAAAGGCCCTTACGATTTTTTCGTACTGTTGCTAATCTTAGATTGTTTAGAATGGAATGACTTGACTTAATGAATCAAACTTTTTCAAAAGTAACCATGAATTAATACAAGCCTTGAGACAGAAAGACTGACCTCCTGTGCTTTTTAGTGCTATATAGTGTCAGAGAAATCTTAAAGGGATTTAGCACCATAATTGTCTTTCGTTACCAAATGTCCCACTAAAATGATGTTCTGCTATAATGTATTTGTAGGATCCCGTGTCTCTGTATTCACATTAGCGTGTCCGCTCTGTTGAAGGAAGGCGTTATTTTGATTGCTCCACTCCCCACTCATTGCGGTCTGTTGTTCTGAGCTTCCTTTCTGAGATGCCAGTGGGTTTCTGCTAATCACCAGTTCCAGCTTATTGCCAGATTCGGCGATGAGGGGCACAACTAGACAGCAGTCAAAGTCTCTGGTGCGAACGTGGTTTACCTGAATGATTAGAAGATGGATTTTTGTTTTAGGAAAAAGAAATGAAATCACAAGAGAAATAGATTTATCCTTGAGACTACGGAACCTGACTTAAATAGTCTAGGGAGAGAATCGCCCAATACAAGACTACTTAACCGTGGTGTGTGGTCTGAAGGCAGCAGTAAGTTTTCTACTCACCCTTTAACAGAATGTAGCTAAAGTGGGCATATTTACACTGGTGATAGCTGTTGGCAGCTGTCACAATGCCCACTCCATAAATGACATTTAACAGCACATAGTTATTCTGTCTTTCATGGCATTCGTTAATTTAAATGCAATAGATCACATCTAAAATTTCAATTCAGTTCAGGTCTTCTCTGGTTTTCATTAATATATAAAGTATTTTATTGGGCTAGTTGACAAAAAAATTGAGTTTTTCCGTCATGATCCAACTTGGCACTGGGGGAAGTGCAGTGCTCATTGTGACAACTATGTCAATCAACAACTTGGATTGAGCACAGAAACAATGCTCAAGTCTGTGTGAAGAACAGCAAAAATTACAAATCTGTCTGGAAATGCCTCAGGAAATTCCAGCTTTCCAGTGAGCATCTGTATGTCTCCTTTGGAGTTCTAAAATACCTAACGTTCTGAAAGAATTCGGTTCTTTAAATATGATTTTACAGCAAAATCTAGCCTTAGTGCCACTGCATAAAAGTCAGTCACTGTGAAGTGCTGCTTTTTTTTTACTGAGCGTCTCAGTGCTTTACATGGCCTGTGGCGCAGAGCAATTACAATCATTTGTCCTTCTTCCTGTCCCCCTACATGCATCCTTTCCCAGCAGAAATAGAACAGTACTGCTCAGAATATAAAATATAATAAGCAACGTAGATAATAACTTGTTCCAAATAAGCGATGTAAATGCTTTATGCAATTCTACAATCAGGTCTGGGTACACAGCCACACAAATGCCCCACGGTGTGGTCATAAATCTTTTGACAATGTAACTTGCGTGTCATGGCCCTTCATGCTAAACCTGTGTGACGCCAGAAGCATTACCTGTAAAAGTCTGTCGTATGGTTTTAAACCTCCCAGATCGCCAGGGCCAGCTGGTCGAATATTTTTAACGTACACGCCTTTTTCCAGTAAACCATCTGAGACACTGAACCCAAAGTCTTCTCCATCAGAGTCCTTGTACAAAGTTACCTGTGGAGGTGATGTGACATGGTAAGAAGAGGGTGGGAGGGAAGAAAAGTTTGTCCCATTTCTACAAGCACTAGGCAGGCTTTCTTCCTAGTGGGTTTTGGGTTTTGTTTTTTTTTCCCCCACATTAGCAAGCTCACTTACCTACTATTTGCTACTTACAGTATTGTATGAGAGTTGTTGCCATTTTGTCATGATATTAACATTCTCAGAAGCCTCCTTATTCTTCCATATTAATCAGCCCTTTTCACTTCTGCTTGTCAGCTGGCTATTTGTGGGTTTTATCCCACCTTTTGTGGTGTCATTTTTTATTTTGAGTCTTAAGTTTTCTTCTACCCTGTTCTCTACTTGCCAAGATCTAAGTCCAAGTAGCCAATTGGTCATCCAATTAAGTTTAGGTTTGCTTCAGGGACAAAGACCTGGCCTCAACCACTCGATCAGTGTCGTGTCTTCCAAAACTTCCCTAGGTCATAAATGCACCATAGCCAGCCTGGTTTCGGCCAGGCAGTGGTCCACCCTGTAAGGCCTAATCTCAAAAGTGCTCAGTATGAGAGTTATAATGCAATCTTTTAAGAGAGTATGAATGAAGGCTCCTTCAGCAAGAGCTTGCAGGCAGCGTTCTTACAGTCACATAGCCAAGAGACAGTCATTCAACAGCAGGAAATAGAAGTTAATAAAACTGTTAGGAGAAGGTTTTTCAGGTATTCAGCAAACAAGTCCTTGCAGACAGTTTTGTGAAGTCAGTTATTTGACAGAAAAGGCGTCAGACTGTTTTGTAGGTATGTGGGATGCTTAGGTTGTTTTTTTTTTTTTATTTCTGTGAGAGTGTTGGGTTTTTTCCTTGCTTCTTTCTCACATCAGGAGTGCAGACCTATGCGAGTAAATTGTGTGGGTCAGTGGCGTGACATCTGACTGACAAACTGATGCTGGCACAAAATGCGTGTGCAGATACAGTCACAGTCAAAATCGGGCTTTTACTGCTAGAGTTTTTTTTACTTTTGGTTCAAAATACTGATTTAAAACATACCTTGGCTAATAAAATGACAACATTAAGAGTGCTCTGTAATTTTATAATGGCTGGGTATCAGTAATGCTCCATATGCTGCATCTTAGTGTGTGCCAGCCACTGAATTCCTTTCTGGTGTTTCTGAATGAGAGA